ATTCGAACCGGTTCAAAAACCGAACCGAACCTAAACCAAAAACCGGTTCAAAAACCGAGTTCGAACCGGTTTTTTTTTAAACCGCCCCATCCCTAGACGCGATTGATTTTTTTTTTCTTTTGAAAAAACAATTTATTTTTTACATGACGAGGAAACTTGAATGTTGTTGTCTGGTATGGTATGATTCTCCTAAAGAAAACGATGTGCTGTTTATTAACAGTGAGAGGTACACCATTTTTTTTTGTATTGATATATGCTTTTTTATTATTTTATGTAAATGTCTTATTGAAATCAAAATGTGGAGTGGAATTTGTCTGTCTATTTAGGTATTTACTACAAGATTCTTATCATGACAATATATGATTGGTACCATTTTTGATTTTCATAATCGATATTAAATATCAAACAATATTAAACAATTATAAGACATCAAAGCACCATGACTGTTGAAGAAGAAACATTTCGATATATAACATTTGATTATCGGAAAATTGACAGATGTCAAGGCACACATGCTACCTTGAAGACATTACAGCTATTCTCACACGTTCTCATGTACAAAGGCTAATCTGACTTGCGACCCCTCGATGATATAACAATGAAACTGAATTCCAGGGGAGGGCCGCTCTGCCCTGGAGTTTATCAAAATTGCATCATTGTAAAGGATATCTTACCTAATCTTCCCTCACAGTACCTGGGTTGGCACTATCTGTATATGCATGCTGGCTGAAAAGTTGCTTGCAATGATACTACTTCAAGAATAAAGATGGCTGGCTCTGCAACCAAGAAGACACAACTGGAAATTAGAATTAGCATAGTCTGAGGGGAAGATAAGGAAAGTTTTTGTCCACCTTGAAAAAGCCTTCCAAGATGTTTAAGTCATTTTCACTTATGGAAAATGATTCCATGTGCTGAAATAGTGCTTAATTGCATGGTCTTGCATGTTTGTGATAGGATAATTTTACTAAATCTGACACCTGCAATCAACATCAGATTTATTATTCATAAGGAACCATGATTGATAATCAGGAAAAATAATTTATTTTGTGAACCCCAGAAATCTGGGTAGACATGCATTGTTAAGAGTTTTGTTTATGCATGGCCTTGGTATCGTTACTACCTGGGTGATGCAATTGTTAGTTATGTCAATTATAACATCAAACATATTGAATAATAGTCATGATCATCATTTTTATTTGATGGATGGAGGCATTCACATACAAGGAAAGGATTAAATAACAACAAAAAAGCTAAGTCATGTTTATTTTTTATCTATATAATTAATTATATTTAAATGGCATTAGCCTCAATCATGCAAAGTGGCAATCAATTTATTAAAACGATTTATTTTTAATGATATTTGTTTTAAATGTGTAAAAAAATTTTTTTTTATTCCTTTCCTAGTCTACAATTTGATTATCTAGTTCTTGCTGAATTAGATTTTGAGCACATCCTCAACAGCAAAATTTAATGATTTCTTTTTCTTCATCTCATCAATTAATGGTTAAGCCTTCTTTTGTATTATTACAATTAAAAAATTCTTTTTTTGTCATGATTGATCTTCTTTTTTTTAAACTATGTTTTCAAAATAGTTTTAGCAAAAAAAAATAAGTCAGTGTTCAATCATGAAAGAGAACTCTTTAAATTATGGTTGGAGTGGAACATTGGTATTGGTTTTAGAAATCTGGTTACTTATAGAGAAAATGTCAAAAAGGAAAAGATACAATAGATAATAAATTTGTTCCTATTACTTTTCATTGTCTAGAGGTTTCCATCTTTTGTTGGGTAATAGCACACTTTCATTTTGCTTTCTTTTCTTAATGTTTATTATTTTTCTTTCTTCTTGGTAAATTTCATAGGTAATCCTTTCTTTTTTTAGATAAGTTTCTAGTGTTTGAGTATCATTTATTTTGAAAATGTAAGGGGCAATTTTTTCACCTTGTTCTTTCTTCAAAATACTTCTGATAGTACTATAATTCTTGGGTTCCATGGTAGACCTAATGTAAATGAGTTTCATATCAACTATTTTTATACAGGGGTCAGTTCTATATCAACCAAAATATAAAATGGGTCATTATAAAACTGTTAATTATAATTGCATTAAAGATGACTAAACTTTGGTCCCTGAAATTCTTGGTAATACCAATGTTCACTTTGTCTGGTTTTGTTGCAGTATGCCCCATTTAAACTTAAGATATATTATTTCAAATAGAAACTCAAATGACATCACCAATAGATTGTTACTATAAACTCTTTTCGTTATCTGGCATATCTCCCAAATTATTAAAGAATGAGGAACACTTCAATTTGCGAACCAGAGGTTACAAATATTGGTTTTGAACGATGATGATCTATCGCACTAATAATTTGTCAATGTAACTATTCATTTTATGAAGAAAAAAAGTTTTTGGATACTTTATAACAAACCTAAATGCAGATTTTCCAATATATGTATTTACTGGCTATAAGTTTATCAATTAAAAAAATAATAAGGGACGATATTTAAGCTTTTCAAAATAAACCTATTTTTTGAAACAAATAAAATTATACCTCATCGTTATTTTCATCAGGATTCCATATTTTTACAGTTTTATCAGTTCCACATGAAAAATATAATCCCATATTTAAAGCACTACAACAAATCCCTTTGACAGAACTTTTATGTGCAGTTACTTTCCATACACTTTCTCGTTCTGCTAAATCCCAAATCCTCAGTTCTCCATCAACACTCCCTGAAATAATAGTTGCCAATTTTTTGGGATGTTTGGCCATACAATAAACACCATCGCCATGACCACTCAAAGCCCCCACAAATGGTTTTGCAAATAGTCTTTCCAATTTTACAGCATTAAGAGCCCTTGTATACTCGACTGCTTTTTCAAATGGGTGCAATTTGGAATCAAAATTTCGTTTAATTTTGTGAATGTCCTGTGGACTTTCGCGCGTGTACTCTGAAATGTCGCGAGAAAGGACTTTAATTTTCTATTAAAAGTTAAAATAATGTGAACATTTAATACATTTAATATAAAAAGGATTTTATTATATTGAATATATATATACCATGATTTAAATTATTTTTTTATGAAGAAATTTTTTTTATTTTGATCGAATATATGCAGAAAAAGGAAATTCGTGTGACAATAAACGTCAAACATTTGTAAAACCGCTTCAGAATTTGAAATTGCGCTTGCATGTAAATGGCAGAAACTCGCTCAATAAAAATGCTATTCTGTTGTCACAGATTTTTATCTTTTAAGAAACGATCAACATTCCTTTATCCCATTAATACTAAGCAAAGCTTTCGTCCGATACAAAAATATAATCTTTGAAAATTTTTCCAAATACAATTTTTCATGCAAATATATACTTCGATTAGTCGTTTTTGTGTCAGAAAATTTGCCATCTTAAAAATTTTTATGAACGAAATGTTATAATCGTAAAGAAAATTCATACTCTGCTGACTTTAATATGGTATAACTAAAAATCCGATCATTCGTCATCTGAACCAACTAGTTCCACAAATCTATCTCAAACACAACTTTTTTCTCACTTTTCTTTTAAAATATTCCTCCTGTAATGGTGTCTATAATATTATTTTTTTTGTAGAAAAAAAAATAAAGGAAAATAGCAGAAGCACTTAGGTGATTCATTAAAATATCAAGGGCTTAATTTACTTAATATTCCAACTCCGCCTGTTTTAGTATAATTTTACTTGGATCATGCGATTTATTTAATTGATTTTTTATAAATGATAGCATCAAATGGCTTATAACCAACATTGATATTGTTAATGATACAGGATGTAAGGTATGTCACATAAAAAAGATAAATGGTATAGCAATTGGATTTGTTGGCGAAGCTAATACTAAAATTTGATTTTTTAAAAGTCGAAAACACGTAATAACGTTGATGATTCAAAGCTATAATTGACAAAGTATGATAATAATAATGAGTCATTGTAGGGGATTGAGCGGAAAGTTTTGATTGATTGGGTTCGGAAACTGATTACGAATTATGGTTTTGAAAGTTATACCATATTAAAGTCAGCAGAGTATGAATTTTCTTTACGATTATAACATTTC